CATAGGCTTCTAGAAAACATTTTGTGGGTGAAGAAATGGAAGCAAGAAGCTTAGGACTTCTTCTATCGTCATCTGCTGAGGGCTTCAATTTGCCGAAAAAATGTGCAGATTAGAAAGTGCTCAAATCGGTCTGTCCAAGAGGACCACCGCATTTAGATTGTCAAAAATCTCAAAAGACTGAAATTTTGAATTTTGAAGAGATGTTAGATTTTGAAAAGATGCTCCATGATGATTCTATAGTGGTTTGAGCAAATGATAACATGCTTATGAATAGAGCTGATTGAAGAATATACTATGATAGGATAGTAAATCCAAACCTAATTTTATGAAACTCATAATGAAGCAGTAATTTTGCACCTTAGGGCATCGATATGAATATTTGACGAACAAATACAAAATATGTGTGATCGCAATTTTGCGATGGACCTCAAATGGGCTTATCGAGTTAAAAGTTGATAATATTTTCGGAGTAAAACTCCTCAAGCATCGGGATTTAAAATGCGGTTAGCCCCTGCTATTTGGCTAGACCAAAGCCCTGTAAAAAGAACTCAAACTTTCCATTCCGAAAAAATTATTACTGCATTTATTATGTTCAAATATTTATCCATACCTGCAAGAGCACCTTCAATATTTTATGTGCGGCTCCCTATTTCAGAAAATAATGAAAATTTTCTGTAAGATCCGCAAATGCCAAAGGATCCTTAATTCACGATAATCAGAATGTCAAACTCAAACGTACGATTTTCACATATTAATACTATTTAAAGAGAAATTTTGTGTACGATTAGAAGTGAAGTTAGGTGGTGCCAGGACACACAATGGCGATTGTGCTAATATTAAATTACACACTTCATCAAATACTACTAGTATAAACAATTGAGTGAGAGGAAAGCAGCTAAAAATACGCCAGGATAACGGGACTGGCGTCATTCTGATTGATAGGATAAGTTTCTCTAGAAATTCTATTTCATTACAATCTGTTTACCAGATAGTACGGGGGAGGGAATCCTTTGAAGGTATGCATTTTTTTGGAGAAAATACAACGACAACATTTTTTTCAAATACAAATTGTCTTCACTATATTCCCTTTGATATTTCACTAAAAAATGTCATTCGCCAACGTACAATCTGCCTTGAATTATTCAATAAAAGAATTTCTTATGCTCCACGAAAGAAAGTGTGCAGCTTTTGCATGTAGAAAACCTTTAAGAAATCCGATTACCAAGCAATTTAATGCCGGAAACCTTTTCTGGCGAAGTAATTACTTTGATATAGTTAATCATGCTGTATGAATGGATATCAAGGTGTTAGCAGATGCCATTTGCACAGTTTAAAATAGAAATCTCTGCAAAACTCGGAAACGTCCGACTGGAATGTCTTCGCTACTTTGGAGAGGCACAACTTTTTGCTGTCGTAAGGGATTCATCTGTAGCAAATTTTGCTAGGAAATTGAAATTCACGAAGGCAGATTCGCCCATTCAAGGCAATTTTCCAAGAATTTGAAGTAAAGTCGTAAGCCTCGTTGAAGAAGCTCAGTCAGTACAAACATTCAGAAAGAGAAAATCAGAGAGTCATGTCAGTGAAAGTTTTGAATTTAAAAAACTCATTCTTCAAGCAAAATTATTTTAGCAAAAAGGTGTGAGTTCAAAAATGTAGACAAACTAATCTTTCGAATTATGTTGAAACACGCTAGTTTCTAACAGAATCATACGCAAGCAAAGCACAGCAAGAAGGTGTGATTTTTCGTGAAGGTAAAAATTACTTTTGTGCCGATGTAATGTAGAATTGGTGGGGTGAGAGAATATTCTGTTTTCATTTCAAAATTTCATAACCTTCTTTGATTTTGAGAGAGGTTAATCGTACCTAGTTATGTTTAGGGAAGTAGAAATTGTGGTAACAGAAAATGCTCAAAAAGTAGTAATATACCAATGCACTGTCAATTATATAATTCCAAAAAACTATAAGTCAAAAAAACTAATAGAAGCTGGCTGGATATTACTCAATGCCCGATTGTATACTCTCATACAAATAAGGTATAAATATTAGAAGATCACCAAATTGCCGGAAACAGAATTAGAACAAAACCACCCAAACAACTGTTGAATCAGCTATATATGGGAAGTGTATGGATAGCATCCTCTAGCTGTAGTTATCTATAGCATTATGATTCTAGTCAGCGATTATCTGACCGGTGAGTTGAATCACCAAACGTAAAGTAAATAACACAGGTGTGACGGGCTATTAACTCCATGCCAGCTGCCTATTAAGTCTGCTTATAAATGCTATATTCGGAATCGTAGAGACCTGTAAATATGAATTAAATGTGTTTGGCACAATAGGCTAATCTACTATTTAGTTGTCATAGAAATAAATTCATCGTAAAGTTGAGGCAGAGCCACATAAAATGCTTAATATCTTTATGTTTGTAAAATGTTCAAAAAGTCAGGAAACGCTGTGACTTCGATTTTTAAGGTATAATATATTAGGTTGTCCCGAAAGTTTTGTCGGTTAATTCCATCGCTCACTAAAACCCATAGAACACCAATTCATGGAAGCTCTAGGTATCATTTAAAACAGATTTTCATCCTCTTTCTTACAGTTATATTTGCTCTCTGATCTAACCTGTGTTCGCAATGTTATCGCCATGGCTTTTTGAGCAGCTCAGCAGTGACCCCAAATCTTTTCTGAATTTTAAAAATTTTTCTCCTGCTACCTTCGAAAAGCGCTAATAACTGTTATGTAGAGCCATTCTTCGGCTACATTATACTTATTCTAGACTACATGGGTCACGCTTATCAAGTCCTAAATAATTATTTATTTAAAAAAAAATCACCGCTTTTTGATTACGTCTACCACGTAAAATAACCGAAAATTCCAAAAAGCTGCTTTTTCAAAACAAATCAAACTTGGATGTGTTTCATAAATAATGTTTATTAGCAGTCAAGTTTCAATTCGCAAAAATTCCAGAAGCTTTCATGTTTTTGTCGCAGTTGCGTGTTCCATGGTTTTGCCAGAAATCAAGACCTCCAAAAAAATAATTCTTTGAAGCTAGAAACAGCAACTTAGGGGAATCTAAAAACATTACCGTATAGCCCGAGAATTGTTCTATTTGTGCCATGCTTAGTCCTTTCCAAAACTTTGGAATAAAATTTTTAAAAATTAGCCTAACTTTGAGCAGATAAAATTGACGAGTGAAGATTTATGGCAATTATGAAAAAAAACCATACAGGATCTTGGCTCCTAGATGTAACCATAAGAAAGAGAAGGAAAAGCTGCATCGAATGCATGTTGAAACTCATTCAGATCTTCATTGTGCGTGGTTTTGTAGTGGTTTGAAAAAACCGACAAAACTTTCGGGACAACCTAATAGTTGCCGACAATGGAATGGTTCGATTTCCGCAAGATTTCCAGGATTCGCACGATTCGCGAGATTTGCGGGATTTGTTCAGATTTAGAACAAGTATTTATATTCGCAATCATTGAGCAGATTTGCATTCATTCGTTGAGGCGAATTTTTCGATGTACTCCAGAAAGATGTAATTATTCAAAAATGCAAAAATGAAAGCCAAAAATATCACCTTATGTGAACAGTTTTTTGGCTGTTTGACAAACATACTAATGCTCTAGGACCTGAATTTTGCGAACAAATGTCACATTCTAAAATTAAAGAAGCATTTAGCCACGCAAAGATTTTTATAAATATTTTGAAGCTTTTATTCCTCTTCGGGTAATCAATACAGATACGTTCTCATTTTAGTCAGCTTTCCTTATCGGTAGATCAAATTTTCAAGAAACAAAAAAGTACTTGAACAAAATGTATCATTGCATTTATATACCGTAAGTCGTCAAAATTCATACTTTCCGAACCTACTTTGTTTTCGAACTTGTTGTAAAAGTTTTATACTACCAAAAAACAATCAAAAGCTGTAAAATTGTAGTGGATTTTGAGCTATCAAACATGATTTTGTAACAGAATGAATACAGGATTCAATACTAATTTTATTTCCTCATACTACTACGCCATTTACGTCTTGCACGTTTTTTACTAAGCGCATTTCGCTTCCTGTTTGCACAATTTACGTAACGACTAGTATGGAAAACGTGATGAGATAGAAGGAAAAAACATGCAGTGAGAGATTAGAAGGGATCTCCTTCGTAATTTTCAATGAGCCCCATACGACCAAGGCGTTAATGACATCTACGGATATTTTACATCTAGGTTGCAAAAAATAAGGATTACCAGATCCTCCAGAAACTTTGACGATTTTAGAAGACACTAATAAGTAAGAAACTCACTCAAAGCCTGTAAGACGAAAAAGGGATAAATGACTGCTACTAATTGGTTCAAACTTTCTCAAACAAAATGCTTTTTGAGGTTGAATTTCTGTTTAGGAGACAGGAAAAATTCACAAATACGAAACAGTAAAGCACGCTTCTTCATTAATGGAGTGCAAGTTTAGTAAAAAAAAAAGAAGAAAGCGGTATTGGAATGAGTTGACCTTTTCCAATTTATGGAAATATATGTTGATTTAGGAAAAAGTGAAAATGTGATATTCGTGGTCTTTGCAGATCTATATAGCACCATGCCTTCTAAAATTTTAAATAAACGGAATTTTTTTACATGTAAAAGCTTTATTTCGAGCATTATTACCTACTCAGGGCTGCGTCCAAAATTGCTCATGCCAGCACCATGCCAGCGCCGTGCTAGCGCCGTGCCGCAATCTCGACGATCAAATCTGTACGCGCGCACGCGGACTACGGTATGGAACTGGCACGGCGCCGGCATGGCGCTGGCACACCTCCGGCGCATGAAACTTTGGACGCAACTTCAATAAGCCAAGAGAGTACAGTACTTTTTTGCGTCGCGACTTTTGCGTGGTTTTGAAGTTTGTGGAGGCATAGAAATGGCCGGTCATGCAGGGTTTGAAGCTTTTTCCATTCTTTGTTGTACACAGCACCAGACTCGAGCATGCCATGCATAACTCACTCGTAAAACTTACCGCTTTGAGCGACTGATATTGTGCCGCATCGATAGGGATCTTTTCGAGCGGAATACGCACTTCTTTTCCCAAGTCAGTGACGAGCATCTCTGCAAAAAGAAAAAGTGAAAAACAAGCAATAAACAGATAAGGCAGGCGTCATACTCAGTTCGTAGACCGTTAGGTTCAAGTGAAGGTGACGCGCTAAACGTAGGGCATTTGGCATGTGGTGTTTCGTAGGCTAATGAAGATGTTCCCTTCTCTTCTCTATTTCCAGAAACCTAGTATATCACATGTGATTTGCTATCTATAGTTTCTATTCAATTCTTGATATACATGACATTCTTGAATTTCGTTTACAAGGCACCAAATGCCAACTGCCCTTCATTTAGTTGCGCTACTTCGGCTCCAAACACTTGCACCAGGGTTGAATATGGCGCACCCAAGTTCAAAGGAAGTAAGAATGAGAAAAAAGGGCATTATATTGAAGGTGACGAGAATTGACGACCTTGTGCAGGAGATAAGAAGGAGGACATTTTTGTGCACAGCAATGAAGGCACTTATCGCGTATGACTAAAGATCTAAGCGCAGTCTTTCCGAGCTCACATTAAAAAATGACTATTCATTTCCTCATCCGTTGTGGATGAGAAAAACAATCTGCAAGAATACTACAATCGTGGATGAGAAAAACAATCTGCAAGAATACTACAATCGTAATGGTCAAAAATGACTTCTCTCTGTAACTGTGAAGCCATGCGATAACCAAAATTGATAAACAACATATTTTTGCAGGTTTCGCAAATGAATGCAGAGGTTGGTGAAAAGAAATAAACGAGCAGATTATGAGACAGCGAAAGCTGCAAGAAAAGTCAATTTTTTTGGTGAGATTGATTGTGATGAGACCTTTGTTCGATATCAGCGACTAGGAATTTTGGAAGGTTCAAATTAGCGAGCTATTATAGAAAGCAACCCATAAATCTATAAATACTACTCAGAGTTCTATTACTTATATGAGTTAGAATTTTCCTCAATAATTCGAAAATAATCTGGACCCTTCTTCCCCTCCGAGGGGTCCCGGAGAAGGTCTAGAAGCAAAACCGTCTGAAAGAAGGGACGAAACAGAAAATTAAAATTTTTCTTTATATTTCAATGATGCTTTTCTCTTCTGGAAAGTCCTAGTTTCCAAACAGCGTTATCTCAAATCGTTCAGCCTCATTATAGAAAGATGAAACAGATAGAAAAAAAATCAAATATTGAATTTTCAGTGCAAATCTCATAATCATTGCTGCAAGATTGTTTGTCTATCCTAAATTTCGAACAGGATACTTAATAACTCAAATTTGAATCCAATGGTTTTTCTTTGGTTGTTAAATCACGTAAAAAAGAAAGAAATTGGATAAGCATTTATTACTACACAAATACCATGTCGAAAGTCTAATCGATATTGACCACCGTCACTTGTCTACAGTATACCTCTCAGTCTGAAGAGATTTATAATTTGCCTTAGGCTTGATACTTTGATGAATTCAAATTATGTACCGTATCCGGAAGTACTATTGAGTTACACTAGCGAGTGCATGCACGACGCATACAACTACATCGATCGATATATCGATCGTCAGCGGTCTACTGTATTTTGGTATGCTGCACTACTTAAAAATTGCATACTTCTAGTGCCTTATAATTTTCCAATCGAAATCAGGGCGCTTATGTTGGAACGTTTTGTTCCATTCTTACGTTTTTCTAAATGTTATAATACCACTACCGTAGAACTTCGCGTCTAAAGCGAAATTATGGCGCGCTCTCAAGCGTATCAAAAAAAAAATCAATTGATCAATCAATAAATGATTGCTCTATACTTATTACTCCAATAAAATCTAGTAACTGAGATTTTCGATCAAACCTACCTATGAGATACCGTGGAATTACAGGGCCGAGATGCAGGCGCATTTTGCCGTTGATGGAAAGAGAGTGATGAGATTCGCGCTGAGTTCGCAGAGAAAATGAGCGGGCTAGCTCTGGATTTGTCATATCTTCGGCAATTTGGAGAGAAAAAAGTTCTGTGTAAAAGTGCGAAGTTTCTCGAACCAATAAGGACAAGTTGTTTGCTTAGATTCTCACTAAACCATTCATAACTTTCCATAGGACCTTTTTGTGAGTGTAATAGAAAGCTGTGATTTAGTGCACCTTATCGTTGAGGCTTTCATGAAAAAATATTCTACAATTTTTGAAGGAAAGCGAAGGAATTCAAAGCACGAGGAATAAGAAGTGAAAGGAGATAGTTGCCAAAATACCTAACCTAATGAAGATAACTCATAAGATAACTCATTCTGTCTGTGGTCATTCTGTCTGTGGTCATTCCGAGTGGTTGCCTTCATTTTCCCTCTATGTCAACCTCACTGCCACAACTTCCTAAAAAGAAGAAACCGACTTCCCCACTTGCGTCCAAAGCCAGTCCACTTATGGACGAAGACGCTATTCAACTACTCGATCGCATTCATACAATCATCAGCAAGAAAGCCCCCGAAGCAATTCCATTGCTTGAAGAACTGGTCAGTAAGTTACCGAGTTTGTCCTCGACGCTGGTTGAGAAAGAAAAGCGTGAACGATCTGTAGTCATCTTCGGCGTGCCTGAAGCTGACTCCGCTTTGCCCGCAGTGTCGAGACAGGAACATACTGAGAAATTCATACTCGGTATGCTCAATGATTTGGATGTTGAAGCGCGGCCAGCAGAAGTTTTCAGAATGGGGAGGGCGAAGGAAGGTAAACCAAGATTAGTCAAATGTGTTTTTTCCAGCAAGTATTTATGCACAGAAATGCTTTCAAAATCTCGTCGCCTCAGAAATATTGCGCCATATAAAAATGTATATATCCGAAAATCGATGACTGCAGAAGAAAGAGCGCGTGATAGAGATCTGCGCTCAACCGCACGTGAAATGAATCAAAAAGAAGGTAAACGAATTTTTGTTGTATATAAAGGAGAGATTGTCAAAGCTGCCGATATTCCACAGAAAAACGGCGCATCAAAAAACTTCCTGTCAAAAAACTGAAAAGCTTATTAATGTTTCCAAAAAACTGTTTTCTTTTGAATGCACGCAGCCTTAAAAACAAAATCACACATCTTCAACATTTGTTGTCTACTTTCAAACCTGCTCTTTTGATGATTACCGAAACTTGGTTGAATTCGCATATATCTAATAGTGAAATCAGCGGTAATCTTCCTTATATTTTGCTTAGAAAAGACCGCAAAAGTAAAAAAGGTGGAGGAGTCTGTGCGCTCATCCATAGCAGCATTCTTTTTGAGGAAGTTACTTTCAAAATGAAGGGACTCGAAGCGGACGTTCTTTGTTTTGATATTATCTTACAGACCTATGCTGATAGAATCAGATTCATTTTGATCTATCGACCACCACGGGTCGGTGGTAAGCAGGACGAGCTTATTCTGACTTTGATTTCTGACCTTGTTTCCTCTCAAAAAATCAAGACTGTAATAGTCGGAGATTTGAACCTCCCTATTGACTGGATTCATAGAACCGGATCTAATTACATTGGGGAGAAATACCTTACAACATTTGATGCTTTATCCATGACTCAATGGGTCAATTTCCCCACTAGAGGTGAACATATACTAGATCTAGTATTATCGAATGCTGAAATTGTCAAAGATTTTTTTGCTTCTCCCCCGCTTAGTACTTCTGACCATAACATTGTGGGTTTCTCAATTGCAGTACCTAACCAAGACACCCAAACCATTCACTCTTTCGACTTTAAGCATGCCAAAGTCGATGAAATGAAATGTTTGTTGTCCTCTTTGAACTGGTTTGAGATTTTCAGAAACTTTAACGATATTGATGACGTTTATAGTCGCTTTCTTTACATTATGCATGATATTATCAAGCAGTATGTTCCCCTCAAAAACGCCGAACAGCTTAGTTTTTTCAAATATCCGACTCATATCCGCAACCTTTTTGAACAGCGACAACGACTTTTCAACAACACTCCTGATCCTATGCACAATCCACGATACGCAGATATCACCCAAAAACTTGATCACCATCTGAAGAAATATATGTCTTACAAGATCAATAAGTTGGCGAGCAGCAAACATATGAAGGAAATAATATCTTTTATCAAATGCAGAACTAAAAGTTCACCTGCTCTACCAGTGCTTGTTACGGATGATGGATCAAAATATAGCACAGGTTTTGAGAAAGCAGAAGCCTTCGCAGATTTCTTCCAGAGCACGTTCACTAATTATTGTGACGAATCAATTGTAAACTTGCCAAAAATTACTAAACAGAAACTTGAACTACCAATAATCACATGTGATATGGTCTACAAATCTCTCAAAAAACTGAAACCATCACAGTCCGTTACGTCTGAAGGAATACCACAGATGTTATATAAACTCTTTGCAAAACATCTTTCATCGCCTCTTACACACATTTTCAACATCTCTCTGATGACAGGTCAAATTCCTCTTGCTTGGAAAGCTGCAGTAATAACTCCCATTCCAAAAGGAAAAGATAGTGACCAAATCTCAAATCATCGTCCTATCAGCATTCTTCCAACACCCTTGAAAGTTCTAGAAAAAATTATGAAAAAATATCTACTTGATTGGATTGAAAATATTAAGATCATCCCTGATGAGCAGTTTGGCTTTCTATCAGGTTCATCAACCTGTTCTCAGCTAATAGATTGCACGCATCTTTGGAATGATGCACTAAGCCAAGGTAAAGCAGTAGATGTGGTATACTTCGACCTCAGTAAAGCTTTTGATAGCGTCTGCCATAAAAATCTACTAGCAAGACTGCATAACATAGGCATAGAAGGTAATTTGCTTGACTGGTTCCGATCTTATCTGCAGGATAGAAGGATAGTAGTACGCTTTTCTCAGGACTTCTCCTTTCCCAGAGAATGCCCTTCAGGTGTGCCTCAAGGGGGTGTACTCTCTCCTATTCTTTTTCTCATTTATACGTATGATTTACCTGTCTTCTTGAAAACGGATACGAGAATTTTTGTGCATGCTTATGCTGACGACATTAAAGTAACAGCAATCTATGATGAAAATGAGAAAGAAGAGGTCCAAACAGCTTTAAATAAGTCTG